ATAAAAAAAGAAGGAGGGGGAAGGAAAAGGGGGGGAGGGAGCAATGAAACACAGGCCAAACAACTATCAGGTTAGTTCTGCAGTTCTTAGCCTATTCAATTAACTTTTTTTATTTTAACATGTCCGACTCAGATAAAAACTAAAGGAATTGCACAGGACAATTAAATATCTGTAAAAGGAGGCATGGGCATTTTAAAAATTCTGTCTTTGTCAGCTACTATAAATCTGGCAGTTTATAGACACTTTCAGCTGATATTTGCGACATTTAAAGAAGGTTCACAATTGGCTGAGGTTTTTTTTTTTTTTTTTTACTTTTTAAAGAAATATTCTTAGAGTCAGACATTTTGAGAAAAGACTTCTCTACTGTTTAAAAATAGTCTTCTCTATAACATAACTAAAGTTTTGCAGATAGCAATTAAGTACCCTCCACATTCTCTTCTGATAAGGTCATTTAACTAGTAGCTCATTTAGCAACGCAGCTGATGAGTTTATATTCCTGAAATTTTATTTTCCATGAATATCATAATAATTTAGGATAAATATAGGTTACGGTCATAAGAGCAAATGGTGTGCCTTCATATTGCTGATGTGAAACCACCACCTTAGTAAAGCTGAAAAGATACAAAAGCGTTGCAAGGTGGTGCTACCTTTTTAAAGCACAGGGAAAGTGAGGGCTTTTCAGTTCAACTTCTGTGTTTCACCAGCCAAAAGCAACAAATACTCTTTCATTCAGCTGATATAATAGTTATTTATAAAAGTAACTATACTAATGTGACCAGAATAGATTGAGCAAGCATAAACTGAAATTGTTGCAAACACAAAGTAAAAAGAGTTAATCTAAACTCATCATTCCTAATGGTTGACCGGGCTGAACTATGGGAATACACAGGGGACGGTTACCATGGCCCAGCCGATAAGCTGTAACCCACTAAGGTGCAATAACGCAATTTCTTTCAAGTATGTGCACTGAACTGGATTGTCAGGATTATGTCATCTGGGTTACAGAAATCCTGCCTTTCCTTGGGTAAGAATAGTAGTATTTTTCCTTTATTTTCATTCACTGTTATGCAGTATTCATTTTTTATAAGGAAACTTTTAGTCTAAAAGTACTTCACAGATGATAAGCCTGATCCTTCTTTTTAATTCAGTGGCAAAGCTCCCTCAGATTTCAACAGTGAAAGAACTGAACCCTCGATAAAAACAATTGGTCGTTCATGCATAACTGAATTACAGCCATATCTGCGCTGAAACACAGCAACTATTTTGCTGTTAACGTTACCATTACAGGCTGATCTATGGCTAGAAATGCACAACTGATGGAAATGCACAGAGGAATGTTAGGTAGGTGGAAAATCATACCAACTAAACTCTGGCAAACTCCCTAGAGATAAGTCCCTTATTCATATGAAAAATGCACAAGACTGTTTACAACTGTTCAGGATCTCAATTACATTTGCCATGCAAAAGGCAGGTCCAACAGCTGACAGTGCACTAATCTCATGCTAAGGTACCGAATAAGTAATGCTCCTATATGATTCGTTCCTTATTTAAGTGAACGGGGAACTATAAATACAAGTGCTGCAAAGAAAGAGTTTGGAGGCTTTTGCATGTGAGTTTTATTTTTTTTGAACATGGCTCAACCTGTATCACCATGAGCTAGACTGTGAACTGTGATAAGCTCACACACACTTGTAGCACAGATGTAGATTTCTGTCTGCATTTCACGGTTTAAAGATGAGGCTGTGAATCAGAAGAGAGGACTTGGAAATTACAGTCAGTCCCCATGCTCAACATTTCAGGCTGTCAAGTGTTTGAGATCAATATTTTGGCTTTGGCTCCTCGTTTGTCAGTAAGAGATCGATATAGAGAAATACATTCTGTTTTCATAAATAATATTGCTTAATTGTATCAAGGTAACAAACGAATTTTATAATAATACATTAAACACACTGAATTACTCTGCTGTCAAATGTATGCCAAATTTATTTCTGGATTACGGGAAAAAAAAATCTTTTTCATCTAAAAAGCTGAAACCAGTATCAATTCTCTCTTTTCTTCAAAAATCTCAGTGGGGCTGGGGAGAGGCGGGAAGCCTAATGTTGTCCTGTTTGAATTGCCAGTAGCAAGACATTCAGTTCATCAGGACAGAATTTTTAGTTATACCAGAAATCAACCGAACAAGCTTTTGTCATAGCCATTTTATTCCAGCAGTGCTCAGAACTCTGGAGCTGCCTCCTTCTAAGTCTAAAATAAAATATGCTTCTTTGGAAGCTCTAGCCAAGAAACATCAGAATTGCACTGACTTCGAACAAGTTCATCATCTTAGATTTTCCAACCAATAAACGAGATACTCAAATTAACAACTGAAGCAGTTAATCCTGTAGTATTCTATTCATTGTTTGTGTTTAACTAGGCAGAAGCTACTGTTTCATAGGTCGTTACTCAACATAAATACCTCTCTCCCAACAAAGGCAAGTTATTTTTTCCACCCAGTACTTCATTAGCTTTTCTTCTTGTTGGATGACTGCACTTGCACTTATGTCACTACTAGCAGTCAACTGTCATATGAGATGAAGTAAAATATATTTGGAAGAATTGTACTTTATTAATCAAACGTCATTGTTTTCCCCCCTCAGGCAGGTGAGAGGAACATAAACATTAAAGTACTTAAGTAAACCTATAGACTGATCCAGAAAATTATTTCCACAATATGAGCAATGCACTTATTTTCACATAGCTGGGATATGAGAGAACATTTTTCAATGGTAGAAAGTGTTTCCAATTCCATACGGGAACAACCATTCTTTATCAACTTGCTACTAACAGCTTTCAATCCAGCTTTTTAGGAACAGTTTTTGCTGCCTAATGTTTTACAGTGTTTTCGTATTCTGATCAAATAATCAGTAAACTATTAAATATAATAACACTGACATTTTTCTGTTTGAAATTAGTGTTAACTACTCAAATACTTCATTTCTAATGTAAAATGAAAACAAACTCATGTTTTGCTTTTGAATTACAGACTACGGTACATTTATAAGCTTCAGAAGAAGACATAAGAATCCCATACTAAAAATAGCCTTTTTGTCAAACACAGGGTAATTTTCTTTATAGATAGTCCTGTGACTCAAATAAAAGCTAGGCAAACATAAAACATTTGTAAACAAACACATCCGATTTTTTGAAGTCAAACTTAAATGTTCCTGTATATTCTCTAAAATAGCTGTGGTGATACTGAGTACTTAATATTCAGTTTTCATACACAAAAATCTGAATAGCTACTCCTGACCTTACGAAATGCTCAGAAGTTAGCAGCTGAGTACGTTTTGTTGAATAATCTCCATATCCTTAGGTTACCATATATGCACCAAATACGTTCATCAACACGGCATACACGTGCCTAAAAGTTAGATGTGCCATTATTAGCACTCTGGAATAAGTAATATATGAATTAACTGTTTAATTCTATTCAGCTGCCTGCAGCATCAAGAAAAAATAAAAGGCTAAATGTCAGTATTTCAAACTGTCAGCTGAAATGAGTCTCAGATGTTAAAATATTAAGCAACCTAAAAATCAATTAACTTCATTTTAACAAAATCTTTTACGAGGCGAACTTAATCTAATGACTCATAATCTTCCCGTTCTCTTCCTTGCCACAACTGTACATGAAAAGTGCCCCTGTTTAAAATATGCAGTGACTGGTCTAGGCAAATAATATGTAGAATTAATGTAGCCTAAAGACTTAGATGTCTTATGTTATTAGAATTCTTTTTTCTGATAAAGATTTTCATGGCTTTAAAGACAATATTGAAGAATAACTATCAAATAAAAATATACTTATGCATAATTTTTTTTGTTTAAAAGAACATGTCATTTGTCATTGTACACAATTCTGAAAAGGAATAAAGCTTAGGTGGTTACTGTTTTCTATAAAAACAATGGAAAATATTCATTTGATGTAAGAATTTAATTAAGCTAATATAGCCTACCTAGTTTTTAAAAACATAAGGGGTATTGTCAAATCCAACAGGACTTACTTTTTTTTTTTAATTTTATGAAATTTAATTTATGAATGAGTAGATTCACATTACAAAGATCAGTAATTCTTTTCAGTGCAGCACTGATGTAAGCAGCAACATTTGCCTATATTTGCAGTGGAAAAATGCTAGAGAATATGTAGCTTAGCCCCAGAAAACGGACGTCAAGAAATATCAGAGGAGACATTTATTACTAAGGGAGACCCATATAAATGTTTTATATTTAAAAAGGGAAGAAATTACATACCCTTCTCCACCAATTCTTGTTATCTTTAGACGAAAATCAACAGAGTTCAGACTGGGTGGCTTCCATTTCAAGATATCATCACATCGGCCAGGCTTGTATTTCTGAAGCAAATTAAAAAGGTAGTTTAATTATGCTTATTGTCTTTTACTGGGTTTTAAAGTTACAACTCAGAATTTCAGAACTATATTAGTTGTCTCTAATATATTGCAATACTTAGACTAAAACAATGCACTCCATTACTACAGAGATAGCTGTGCTTCAGTACTTTATTTGCTTTTATAACTCCTTAGCACTGAAGCTAAGTCATTGCATATAATAAGGGATGGAGAACAGAACATAAATTAACATTCTTTGTTGTATCTACCTGGCCAATGGAATATTTCAAAGAAGAAAATAAGACAGCACAGTAACAAACAAAAATGCTGATGGGACATACGTAAAGACACGGCTTAGATAACCTCAACATTTCGAACAATTTTATGAGCAATGTTTTTGTTACCCATATTGTTAGCTGACACAAAAAGCCAGCCTCACTATACTGCCAATCATTAAAAAGGCCAGTCAGGAACATGGCTTTTCTCTATCAAAGAAATCTACTTTATGTAAAAATTAGACCATCATAATATATTATAACAGAATTAAGGGAACATTTATTGCCTAAGAGAAAGGGCGCACACTTGAGTGAACCAAAAGATGCCATACTTAACATAAAAGGAGCAATTTTCTCTTAAATTAGAGCTTTGGCATATCACAATCTCTTTCATCATCGGCTTGTTGCCATTAAGCTGCTGTTTTGTTCAACCTAGGCTAATAGTGAGAGCCAAGCCAATAGCAGACTGCACCCTTTCTTCCTCAAATATCTTCATGGCAGAAGAATAAACCAAAATGAATATGAATAGGGCAAAAATAAAAGAATGTAATTTGGAGATACACAGAATGAGAATTTTTAGTTATTAGATTCTTAATTTATTAGTCCACAGTGAGAAAATTTAGGTAAGTTCACTTTAAAAAACAAGAGGGCCCAGTGTCTTTTGGTAACATGGTGACCACTAGCCTCACATAGCACCTACACAGTGTTAAATATTTGCAAAATGTAAAAACTAGTGGTGATAAATGTAACAGTTTTAAATTTAAACTGACAAAAGCGGATGAACAATTTTGTTCTCCGATGTAAAAATGGAAAGTTATCCTTCCTAAGGTAAATACAGCATATCTTACTTATTATCTCCGAATGAAAAGACCACCCATTTCATGTGTGACTTTTGCTGGACAATTACTAAAGACAAGCTTCAGACAACTAAACCAGCTCCAAACTTTTTTAGCCTGATTTCTGAAAGGCATGACAATAATAACCTATCGGATCCTCTTCTGGTATTTGAACATGGCCAGCAAGAGTGTGCTTTCCTCTCTCATTTTTTGACCATGGCCGCAGACTGTTTGAAGCAGTCTTGTTCCGGTTCCCACTCCGGGCATTATAAACGCGTTCCAAATGTCAGTGTTAAATCACCTAACCGACTTACTATTCTAATCATGCACAGCTCTGCACTGAATTTCTCCACAATCTTCTCCTCAACATCTGAATAAAATTTAAATTATTTATCCTTGTTCTCAGTACAACACACAGAAGCTGTTTCTGACACTTCTTATCTATGCCTGCTTCCCTTCTGCTTCTTTCATTTCATTCTTTCCCAGCTATCGTCTAGCTGCAATTTGTCTCTTGGAAAGCAACTTTCTCCAGCAGTCCTTCACATCTGGAACTTTTGCCAGACCAAATCAAACATCCTCTTTCCGCTTGAATCACCAAACTAGCAAGATACAGTTTGATAGCAAGTGTGGTTTTTTCTATCTTCTCTTCTCACCTGATTTCTCATTGGCATGGTTTCTGTATATCAGCAGCTTTTTGAGGAAGGCTGGTTGTCTCTATACCTTTCCAAAAAGGAACTTAGAAAGGTACGCTTTGAGCAATTTAAAGAAAATAAATGTTTCCCAGGTCAACTGGAAATATTCCTTTAGTTGCTATCATCCCGCTATCCTCAGCAATCCTCCTGCTCACCTTTCTCAACACTGACAGGTTAAACTCTCCTAAAACTCGTTGTGAAACTGATTTTGCAATAGAAAAAAAAAATCAAATATTCCAAGATCACTGATGAAAAGAAATATTTTGATAGGATACATCTGCATACGTGTAACTGTATGGATCTACAATTTTGACCTAAGCTTCATTATAAAATTAATTAGACGGTTTGTTTGCAAGGGGTTAGGGGGAAGTGGTGGCAGTTCTTTAAAACAGAGTTACCATTTCTGCTTTTATCTCCAGGACTAGCACAATGTGAATCAAATTTCAGCCAAAATTTTTGTCCTATTAATAAAAAAATTGTTAAAAAAAAGAACGCACTCCACTACACTTCATAACAATTAGCCAATCCAAATGATCTTGGCTAGGAAACAATGGCAATACAAATATACTAATTTGGACCATTATCAAATAAGACCTTGCTCACTTTACAGCAGATTTGTTAACAATGAACACCTGGTATAGGTATCAAGTATCTTATAAATGTTTCAGAAAAATATTGGCTTAAAGGTAAAGGCATAGATTAGCAATCAGACCTTAAATCTCATATCAAGAACAAGTTGTACAGTCTCCATACTTCTCCTGTTACCATGAAAGACAGCAATTCACAGAAATTTAGCTTAAAATGAAAATTCAACCTAATAAAGGCCACATAATCCCTGTGAAGGGAATTCATTTTTGTAATGGGCGAGTCTATATGTACAATAGAGCAGTAGCAGGTTTTTGAATTTGAATGCTAGGTGCTAAATCAAGAATTCTTCAAATATCAGCCGGAACCAAACAAGAATTCTGATACTAAAGTATGTGAAAACTTTGCCTTAGATGAATCATTGCATACTGCAGGCCTGTTCTGCCTGAAGCTATTCTATATTCTAATTCCAAAACAAAATGTGAAGCAATCTGTCTGAGATCAAACTACTCCCCAGAATTTTAAATATAGCATTCATAGCAACGATATCCTAAGCATCCCTCCCCCCTTAAATATGCAAGTACATGACTATTTCTAAAACACATCAGGTCACATAATAACTGAAACAAAGTTCATGCTTCTGTCAGAACTCTTTCAACCTAGAATAAAGGCACACTTGCCAAGGTAACTTTATCTTCCTCCTCTTGATGAGGCAAGAACTGCAGTCCTGATCATCTCCCTATCTCTTCCTTTACAGTTGTTAGGAGAAATTATCCATTTGTTGTGTCTAGGCTTTGGGCTGAAGTTACTGCGCTCTTCCAGCACCCAAGATGGTCCAAAACTCTGGTCAACAAGGTATACCAGAGTTGTAAAAGTGAAGACTCACGAAAGTTGTCTACCTCAGATATGCTCTCTCTTCCATGACGAGTCTTTGTTGAGCTGCTAACCTAACTTGGAGACCAAAGGGTATATAGACAACAGGCACTCTAAGGAAGCGCTGCCTCATTCATAAATGAGCTGAAACAGGAATGAGACTTGTGAGGCCTTATATAGTGACAGTAATGGGTCACTGGCACCTCCACTATCATCTGTGTGAGATGCCAAAAGGTCAATGTGGCATTTTCTACAGCGGCCCACTGCGGGGCTGGCAATCCACAATCCAAAGGTTTGTGGAATAACTCTCCTTTTGACAACTTCATATCACGCATTCAGTGAGAATCTTTGGTTCAAGGGGAGGACCAAGACTAGCTCTAATCTCCAGGAAATTTCTAAAATGACAGCAGAGACATAGGTTCCTCAGTACCAATTACTTCCTGCTACTGACCAGCTTCTCTTGCACCATGTTACTTGCACCACTTCTAGACATAAGTCCTCTTACACCCAAAGTTTGTGTCTACAGCTCAGAGAGTTATAGAGAGGTACTGTCTCCTAAGCGCTGGATGCATTCCACTAAAATTCAAAGACTTTAAGGATTACATTTTAAAATCAGCTTTCACTGCTAAGGTTAGTTGCATAGCTGTCAAAGCATGCTGACTGTTACCTTTGTTCGACTACAGTCCTTATCCTGCCAGCAGTGACACAGTTTAGAAATCTGTCTATCTACAAAAGTCAGAAACGCAGCACAAAGGAATAATAGCAAGTATCTGCCTGAAATTTAGGAGGGTTCATACTTTTATAAAATATATAGGAAATTCATTTGCCCTGGTGGCGCAGTCATTTCAAACATATTTTTATATTTTGTTAAAATCACAATTTCTATTAAATAGTGGAGTAGTAAATAAAAACTGATTTCTGTCATGATGATTGTTTAATTTTTTAAAAATGACTATTAGATTATGGTGCACAACTACATTTTAAAATGATAATGCATACATTAGCGCTTCTTCCTGGAAAAGGATGCAATAACTATGCCTGAATACGCAGTACGTTGTATAACTAAAATTACCCTTGAATATGAAATTGATTTAAATCTTCACGTATCTAATAATGTTAAGTTTCACAGAAAATATTCATATTTTAGTATCAGAAAGAAACTTCTACTATAATGTAAATGATATTCTAATATTTGTCAGCCTTACTTAACAGGATAAACACACTAAAATCACTGTAAAAACAATTCTAAAACACCTCAGGTTCACAAATATTTGTTATGTTGTAAAATCTGCCCATTTCAGGTACCATATTCTTGTGTTTTATTTAAACTGTTTGTAAGCACCTTTGTATTAAACATGATATTAAACCTTTCACTTGAATGGAAAAGGTTAACTATTACAAACTTGCATATACAAAAACAAGTCTGTTCTCACCCACTCAAAACGGTGGTTAAATGTTTTATCTGAAATGTTCTATTTTATTCTTAACTGTCTTAATATCCATAAGGCAGCTGCCCTGCCCAACGTGACAGTTTTCATTCAGTTGTGTAAATATAAAGACAGAATAATTATCATAAATGTGTTTGTTTTTTCTTGTATTTAAGCAAGACCCTGGATCATTTTAAAGACCCAAAAGGATTGACCATTAAGATGCCTCAATCAATCATTTCAGGCTATATCTCATAGAAAAAATGAGCCAAAGAATAGAAAAGTTCCTAATATTGTCACATTATGTAAGTAAGTTGC